TGGGTGAGAGGCTTCTGGAAGCCGGTGGTGGCAGTTGGGCTCTGAGGGTTTTTTCCTGAGGAGCTGTTTTGTTTGGCGTTTGTAGTTCTAAAAATAAAGTTAGTTTCTTTTGACAAGTGGCTCCTGAATTGTGCCCAGCCAGACTGCGGCAGCAGCTGATGCCCCCAGCCACCATCCCACATCTGCTTCCACGGAGCCCTCCAACCACATGTACCTGAGCACCACCCCAGGCTGGAGCTATGGCCCCAGTGCAAGAGCACAAGGGCTCAGGAGACCAGCGGGCTCCTGGGTATTGCCATCTCGACAAGCTGGCGACCCTGCTGGGTTCACAAAATCTAACCACTTCAGCGACTGAAGACAACGGCAAAGAACTCACGAAGCACACAGAAGTGCCTTTTCAACATCTGGGGATGGCGCTCAGCCTTAAGGGCCCGCTGGAAAGAGAGAGCACCACCTGAGTTTTTTATCCTTATGTAGGGGACACAGAAAGGGAGGTTCCGTGGAATGTTCTTTCCAAAAAAGGTCAGGGGCAGTATTACAAAGAACCAAAAGGCAGCCCACTCCACTGGGTAAGGCCCACTCCCACAGCCGGGCTCCTCTGCTGAGCAGAGAGATGGGGAGGCCAGTCTCCACAGTCCCATCGCTCAAAGCTGGGCCCTCAGTGCCCGCGGTAGCTCCAGACACCCGGGACGGGGTGAGTGTCCCATTTCCAGGATGACCCAGCTGCATGCTTCTTGCATTCCTTGTGAAGTCTCAACAGGGAAGTGCCACTCCTTAGGAATCATCCTCTAAGGAGAGCACACTGCGTTGCATTCTGACGTGAGCATACGAAGAGAAGCACGTGGGACCACCCATCCCTGACAGGTGCAACCGCAGCACTGGGAACTGGCTTCCAACTCTCCTGAACTCTGCCAAGGAGCCAGGCACACGGACTCCAAGGCTTCACAGTCACACTCTCTGTTGGGGAGGTTCCATGACAACTCACAACTAACTTTCTCATAATAAGAGACATCTTGCTGGGAGTGGTGGTGCACACCTATAATCCCAGTGGCTCAGGAGGCTGAGGCAGGAGGATCATAAGTTCAAAGCCAACCTCAGCAATGGTAAGGCACTGAGCAACTCGGTGAGACTCTGTCTCTAAATAAAATACAAAATAGGGCTGGGGATGGGGCTCAGTGGTTGAGGGCCCCCGAGTTCAATCCCTGGTACCACTTCCCCCCTCAAAAAAAGAGACAGCTTAATTGTGCAGGTTCTTCAAATATCACCAAATCAAATTTTCTTGCCAACTGGTCTGAACGTTCTCTAGACAGGCCTGCACCAGGTGGTTCTCAACAACGAAAGCAGATGTGTGTGGCACTCTTGTCTCCTGCACATACCGTGAACAGACATCAGACACAGGCAGCCACAAGTAGGCAACAGGAGACAGCCTAATGTCAGAGGACTCCAGAGCAATCCACACCCTGACAGTAGAGTTGGGCACAAGTCACTGGGCAGCCAGGTGACCCTGACTGGCACACTCCAGTGAGAGGGCCCCTAGCACGCAGAAGCCACCACGAGGCCAGAGCTCAGGTGAGGGGGCCCCTAGCACACAGAAGCCACCACGAGGCCAGAGCTCAGGTGAGGGGGCCCCTAGCAC